CTCACCCAATGCTGAACAGGATGAAGAAGTCTGATGTAGTTCAGGAGCTGCAGTGGTGATGTGGATCTGTAACAGCTCTTCATGGAGAACAATCTGCAGGACACCTTCAGAGACTGTGACTGCTGAAGATTCTCATCATCATCACATCTCCTCTGACCACAGCTGAATCTGAGAGGAGCTTCAACTCTGAAGAGAAGACTTTCCTCAGGTACAACATCACACACCATGATCCAGAGTCATGAAGATATTTGCTTCTCAGTTACAGATATAAAATAAAATAAAACACTACATGACATTGTAATTCTGTTTTATTAATTTTATTTATTTAATAAATACACTGCCGTTAAACAACTTAGTGAATACTTTTTGAGATATGTCTATTTTGGAGTTGTAGCACCCCCTGGAGAAAAAATCCACCAGCCACCACTGCAATACATACAAAATTTTAGTATGGATTACAAACGTTAACTGTTTTAGCTGGGACAGAGAGTTCTAAACACTGCTTTCCTGCTATGTAAGCAGACACAAAGCATTGTGGGAAATGAGAACCGTGGCTGAAAGCAACACTCAGCAAGGATGTATACCTTTCCAATCAGTGKGCTTATCTGGGAGGGGTGCTGTTGGATAGATCATGTGCGTTGTGATTCATTGACAGCCATACCTTCTGCTGTTCAAGATAATGATGATTGGTAGATAATTATTTATTAGCGGTACTGCATTTTAATTTTAGAAAGCGCAAATCTGCTTATGAATTATAAAAATTAGTAAGACCGCTAAAGCGCAAATGAAATTTTAGGTCCGTAATTAGCGGATTTTTGCTTTAGCGGGCTGGGGCCCACCAGTGTTGGTTTGTTTGAAAGTCAAACAAACCAATCATGTCTTGGACAAACTCTTCCTGCACAAACAGAAACTCCCACTTAGTGACTGCAGACAGCCCTTCTGAAAAAAGTGCAAMAAAGTCATGGAAACAACCTGGCACATACATGTGGTGGTAGTTTTGTGCTAGCATGGAATGAACTTCCTAAATGCATCCTTGTGGAAAGTGTAGAATGAAGAAAGCCTAAGACGAAAAACATTTTAGCATTAAAATATTTCTAAAATCAGTTCCAAAACACAGAGTTTAGTCAAAAACTCCATGCTAACTGCCACCCTAATCTGATAAATGCTCAAAAAGCTGAAGAAGTTAAACAAGAATCACCCTTTGAAAAACTATTTGTGGCAGATTAGAAAACCTGATAAGTGAACTTGTCAGAACTCTTGGGTCTGTTGAGAAAAAATGACTCCATCACTCATGGAAAGTAAGAGCTGCACAAGAGTGACTCAGCATTTT